ACCAGGGGGTCGAACTTGTTGGCCAAGAGGTGGTGCTGCTGGAGCATCCAGGGCACGTCGCCCACCCCGTAGATGGAGCCGGCGCGCTGGTGCTGGCCGGTGCAGGGCGGGTAGGGCGCGCCCCTGCTGGTGTCGCCCTCCAGGTACTCCCACTTGACCAGGCGGGGCAGGGCGTTCATATCGGAGAGCTGGAACTTGTCATTCTGGGGCATGGCACCTGGCACGCCGGGCATGCGGTTGAGGGTGGCCCAGACGTGCTCGTCAGGGCTGTAGGTGTCCTTGGCCCACTCGAGGAACTGCTGCACCGTGGGGTTCTCAAAGATGTGCTGCACGAAGGCCCGCGTGACCACGATGTACGCGTTGCCCGTGAACATGGGAGAGTTGTGGGGTGGCGGCTGTTTCTCTGTGGCGGTCCGGGAGATGAACTGCCCCACTTCATGGTGGTACTGCCAGCGCTCCCGCTTCAGGGCCGAGGGCTTCTCTGACTCCATGCTGTTCCGCCCCTGCAGCACCTTCAGGGCACGGACGATCTCGGCGTTGGTCTTGATGGGGAAATCGGTGCCGCAGGTGTTGAGGATGTAGCGCCACGGCACAGGGCTCTGCAACAGGTCCTGCATGCAGTTCAGGTCGGCCTGCAGCCGGGACCAGGAGGCATAGACCACCTTTTCCAGGCGGCTAGCCACAAAGACATTGGGGAAGCAGGCTGCGATGGCCCGCACGGCCTCCTGGAAGGCAGCCGGGGACTTGCCGTCAATGTGGACGCAGTAGACGTTCTGGGGGGCGTAGAGGGACCGCAGGAGCCGCTCGAACATCTCGATTTTGTTGTGGATGACCATGGAGTAGGCGATGGGGAACTCCGCCTCCTCCTGGCTCAGCGGGAACTCGATGAACCGCCGGCTCTCCTTGAAGCTGCTGCAGTTCTTCGTCATGTTCAGGTACTCGCCGGGCGTCAGGGAAACCCTTTTGTTCGCAACCTCCAGGTTGCTGAGCTGCGCCTCCTGGATGGCTCTCGCGTCCCCGCGGACGACCCCCGAGCAGTTGAGCCTCCGGCCGGGGGAGAGCTCCAGCGCCTGGTAGAGGCGCTCGCGGCAGCGGGGGTGGGCGACAGTGTCGGGCCGGGCGGCGGGGCAGG